AAACTGCAGGGACTTGTTCCAAAAACAGCCCTCTGTGCAGCTGTCCAGGGGTAGACAGAGCTGGCTAAATGGGCTTTGGAAAGAGGCAGGCAGAGATTACATGCTGGGGTTTCAAAGCTGAAGATAAAGAAATGCATCTAACCCAATGCTGTTGGATTACTCTCTCTGAAAGAACACTCCATAAGCTGCTGCCATGGGCAGTATCAGCAGATAGTCTAAATCCAAGCCGTGTAATTGATCTGCATATAATTTGCAAATGTGCTGTACCTTTTCCAACATGAAAACAGACGTATTTGAATGCATCCAGCAAGAATTATTTGAGATTTGTGTGCCTAAAAGGTGTTGCAGTAGGGCTTACCCATGAACTGATCTAAGCATGCCTAGCTGCTGTAGCACCAGGGCCTGCTTCCAAGTAGATACTTCACGGAGCTATACCTGGTGAGCAAATGTCCAAAGCCCACCCTGCTGTCTTACATAGACTGTCCTTGGCTGTGCCCCCAGTTCAAAGGTTGCCCCCAAGACCCTTCCCAAGTTGAATTTAATCCCTGGGCCAAAAATGGTTTTCCGCCACAGCATCAACTGCTTACTCTGTAAAAAAAGTGGGAAGAGAATGGCCGCAATCCGTTATTGTCATGCTGAAACAAACTCTGTGGCAGTGATTGCCATCTAAATGCAGTGAGCAGTATTTATTACTACTTACCTAAACTGGTGGGAAAACATGTAGGAAAAAAAGGGCTGTATTCAGCACAGGACTGTATTATGGATAATTAAATATCTGTAGAAATAAAGCTGACTGAGGGATGCTTTTAAATTACAACTACGTTGTAACGATTGCAGCTCTATGTAACCTGAACTTGGAAGCAAGGCTTCTGGGAATTTTAGTTAAAAGATTCCTAAGCCCTTTCTTAGTAAAAACTCCTCCAGGGACGTGTACAGTAAAATTCACCGTAACAGGGAAAAGTGTGATAGGTGAGCTGTGTACCAGGTTGCTCAGTCTGCTGCCCAGGCAATAATGGTTAATGAATAACATGTTCTTCCTTCATATTATATATATGATATTGATATATTATCATATATCATACCATATAATTACACACACACACAATTAATCTTTAAATTTCCTGGACTTAGGAGGACCAGGTTCAAGTCCTCACGCACACCATGAAGCTCACTAGGTGACTTTGGGCTAGTTACTATCTCCCACTACTTTACAGGGTTGCTGTAAGGATGAAATGGGGAGGAGGAGAAAGACTATGCAAGCTGCCTTGGGTTCCTTGTAAGAGGAAAAAAGGGCAGGATATAAATGGAATGTACTACTAGATCTTTGAATAGAAGATACCTTCAAGCAGAGAACTTTCCTAATCACGAACTTTCCTAATCACAAACTTTCAAAGTGAGACTCATCCTCAGTAAAGTAAGCTACATAGCCACTTAAGACCCTAGATTTTTCTGTACAGGTTCAACGGTGGGAGAACTTCTATTTTCTGGTCTACTCCAGGAGAACCCTCCTTTGCGCCAACACTGCCATGTAGCAACAGGCTTAGAGGTGAAGCAGAACTGTTGGGGTGATGGAGTACAGAGAACATTTCTGGAAGAACCAGCAGTTTTTGAGGTCACCAAGATTACCTAAAATCACTTCCAAGCTTCTTTTGACCAGCTCCCTTTTTCATTTTTACTTGTTTTTCAGCTTAACTGGAGGAAATTGCACAGTTTAGATGGGCAAAGTGAAAAAACTGAAAATGAGGGTGACAGACAGAAACCCTTTTTATCAGGCAAATTGCCAATGGAATCCCTAGAAATAAAATTGCAATTGAAAGCAGGCTCAAATTGATCTTTACAAACAAACTCAATAAAAATATAAATATAAAAATTTCAGGCCAGGATAACTTTTGAAAACTAGTATCCAGTTATTCCTATTTACTACTATACAGTTGCAACAAATATGCCACATACTGGAAAGCCAGAATGTTCAGCATTCACAATAAATAAATTCTACTCTCACAGGGAAAGGGATACTTAAGAATTTTTTTCTGGTGCATTTTGAAGCAGGTTGATTGGATACACACCTACCACACTAACATAAGGCTTGCAATGCAGTCATTCCAATTTCATAGTTCTTCAAATTTTATGATGGAGTTCTTGCTTCAAAAACAATAATGAAAACATAAAAAGTGCATTTTAAGATGCAGTATATTTACTAATGCGCATTCAGTAATAGACTTTATTCAATAATCCATATTTAAATATGAACATTCAGGCAAATTTTTAAAAAGTGGCTCAAATACTGGACACTCACAGGGAAGAACAATTGCCTTAGGGGTTATTTTTAAGCATTAAAAAGACTTTAAAATCAGCTGCCATCCTGAGACTAAAAATACTTCCTATTGGCTAAAATGATTGACATCACAGGAACAGAGGGCACTGCCTTATACTGAAGCAAATCATTAGTCCCTCTAGCCCAGTACTGTCAGTGCAAACTTGCAGAGGAATTCCAGGATTTCAGGGAGGGTTTTTTCTGACATGCAGGAGATACCAAGAATCAAACCTGGGACCTAGTTTATGCAAAGCACACCCTCTGCCCCTGAGCTATGGCCCCTACTTTGCTTCCCTAGAAACTTGCAGAAGTATTCAGCCCCCTTTCACTTTCCCACATTTTGTTGTTACAACCTGGACCTGAAATGGATTTGATTAGCCTTGTTACCACTTGCTGTGCACAAGACACTCAATAATGTGAAGGTGCAGAGTATTTTATGGTGCCACAAAAAGGCTAACAAAAGCAAACTGGCACCCGGATGATTGCACCCTCCTGAGTCGATACCTGGTAGTACCTTTGGCTGTAATTACAACTGCATGTCTTCTTGGGTATGTCTTTATCAGCTTTGTGCATTGAGATCCTGAAATATTTGCCCATATCATGGTCAAAGGCATGGGTGGCCGAAGTCAAGACCAAGACACCAGAACCAGAACAGGACAGAGTCCAAGTGCAACTTGGAGTCCAGTAGTCAGAGACAAGGTCATAGCCAAGCAACAGGTTGATGTCAGGAACCAAGGAGTATGTACTCAGGACAAGAGAAATACAAGGTCATAAACAAGCCAAGGATCGTGAATGGAAGAGGCAAGAGCAGGGAGCAGGTTCCTGAGGCAGAATAACTAGACAGAATTCAGAAGCACCAAAGGTGTGGCAAACAAGGTGAACTAGCAAGATGAAACAAGGCAATGCAAGACAGCAGGACAGGAAACAGATTGGACAAGACGTAAGGGCTGGGAGTCCTGCATTGCTGAGGTTAGACAACAAGGCAGGACAGCAACCAGGTCTGGAAAGATGCAGCAGCAGAAATGCACTATAGCAAACAGGAAGACCTGTGTTGCTGAGGCAAAGCAGCATTGGTCAAGGAAGATGCAAGAACTGAACCACAGAAACGCCTGCATTGCTGAGACACCACTGTTACTTTGGATAGGTGTCCAGGGTCATGGTCTTACTGAAAGTTGAACCTACAATACAGCCCTAGGTCCCTTGTGAATTAAAACAGGTTTTCCTCTAGAAACTCTATTTGGTTCTCTCCATCTTGCCCACAGTTCTATGCAGTTTCCCAGTCACTTGCATCTTTATGCTTTACGGTCGGAGTAGTGATGGTCTTCTCAGTGCCAGGAGCACCATTGCCTTTGAGGCACATGTAGGGTTTTGCAGCAAGGCCAAAACACTCTTTTTATTCATCTTAAGAAGAAATTGACTACCTTTTCTTGAGGCTGGCAACGAATTGAGGATAATGCCTCAGTTCAGGCATACAATGCGGGCATGTCTTCTAGCAGCTTCCTTTTAGTTGGAAGTTGATTGTATAAACATTCTTGAAAAATCTGTGAAAATAGCGGAGGTACATTCATTTTCAAATTACAAACCTACGATGTCAGGATTAACAGACAGAAAGCAAAAGTGGACGCAGAGGGCTCTTTTAATTGCAATGAAGCTTCGGAGAAATACCCACCACCACCTGTTGGTCATAGGACTAAAGATCTTGCTGCTGGTTACATTTGACACACATCTATAACATACTACTCAAATCATATAGGTGCTTAGCTATATGGAATGCCTATTAACTTATGAATCTGAAATCAAAGTGTTTAATCCTTCTTTCTCTTTCTCATTTAATTTCTTATATAAAGAATGTTAATGTTACTGTTGATATGATTTATATGATCCTTCTTTGCTTGTTTTCAAAGTAGTATTGCAAGTAAAAGATACACAGACTGGGAGGTATTGATGACTACCATCAGAGAAATAGTATTCAACCTATTCTTGATAGATCAAGTCCACCATCTTCAGACACCATTTGATGCCAAATCATCTGTGGGACACACTGCATTATCCAGAGAGGGTTACCCAGCACGACATTTGATGTCTTTTCAGTGAAAAGGAAAATGCTTATGCATCCCAGCATCTTATTTGAGCTGGTTTTCACCACATATTATTGCAACTACCATTTTATTGTTTGAATTAGAGGGTTATTTTTTTATTTTTTTGCTGAAATGCTTTTTCTAATTGTTTTAAACTTGGTTATTTTAAATGTATTTTATATTCATGGTATTTGCTGCCTTGTGGGGAGTTATGACCTAAAAGACAACCAAAAATAAAAAATTAGGGATTCTACTGTTGATTCTGCTTTTTCTAATGGATGCATGTTACTGGCCCAGGGATTTATGTAATTGAAGAGTGTCACATTGGGTTTTCAGATTAAAAATAGATATTGGAAGTTTATTCATATAGAATTTCCTGACTGTTTCCTATGTCTATAGGTTGAAACGTAAAAATAATTCCAAAACTTTCATTTTTCAGTTCCTTGCTGTACCTTTTAAAGACTTTTTCTACTAACAGCCTTAGCTATTTGGTTATTAATGAGCTTAGCCAAAATCATTATTGGTCCCACTATGGTTTCAGTCAAACTATTTTTATAGACAAAAAGAAATTCAACGATTGAAAAAAGTGCAGTGTGAGATAGGAGGAAAGATGTCTGGAAATGAGTCTAGTCCTTTATTAACTGTTTTAAATATAGCATTAAAATATTAATATAAACATCATTAAAAACCGAGAAACAAATGAGCTTAAAACTGTGTATCATTCTGCTTTAACGGCTGTCAACAATACAAAAGACACTGAAATCATTCAAACATCAACATTATGGAAAGAGTTGGGGCTGCAGAATGTTTTCCCTCAAATGTTACAGCTACTGACCATTCGTTTCAAGATGCATTTCCCACATACAGTTTTCCACAATGCTCATTTCACATCATACTGTTAGCATCTGAGGAGTCTAATTTTGTTTCATTCCCATGCTTTCACTCAAATTAACCCTAAATGCAGGAACTAGGCCCCATTGTGTGGCTGTTTAACACCTTTTACTAACACTACTTGCTCCGAGGACCTTACCTGTCTCTTACACTGGATCAAGGACCTTTCTCTTCTTGGCAGCCCTGCATCAAAAGCTACAACTTCTATATATACTACTTGATCAAGATGCCTCAAGGTGAATATTGTACAGTGTATCTAGAGCAAGCTCTTTCAGTGGTCTTGCAGGCATCTATGCTGATTCTGTTTCCCAGCTAGGCATTGGCACACAGATATTCCCCTCTGCATTACCATCTCATTCGCATCCTTCTTGCATTGTTCATAACTGGTTCCCAGGATATTTCAATGGTCTAGAGCATTCCTGTATCTACACTTTTCCCAGTAGAAGTGAATGGACAGAAATTACAAAGATGGAAATGAAATGCTGTTGGGTGTGACCAGGAGAGAGGGATTCTTCCTTTACTGCTGGCAGAACCAAGTTAAAACCAGTAGCAGCGGCTCTGAAAACATCAATGTAAAATGCTCCCCTTAACTCCATTTGTCAGGCCCAGTCTTACCACTCTTCAATTCCACTCCACATACTCACCATCAACCATAAGGAGCGAGAAACACTAATATTGCCAGGAGCTGGTGACAAGTTTTACTAGATATTAAAAAGGGGAAGCAATTGCTTCCTTTTTCTTTTTTTCTTTTAGCAGCAGCTACATGGTTGAACAGTATTTCATTCTATCCTGTGATATAAAAGAAGATGCGAAGAGGTACCTTTCCATCACCTCCCAACCAGTTATTAAGTTGAGAAAGAAAGGCTGAGAGGTATTTCAAAGGTAATTCCAACAAGAAGTGTTGAGATATTAATACATGAGTTTGGATTTAATGAGCAGTCAGATTCCTTGAGTCTGAAATCCTTTAGTATGCTATCAAATATCCTTTACTCTAAATCTTTTTATGTCCAAAGGAGGGAAAACCTCCTGCAAAGCATATTCAATTTGTTCATGTTTATTCTTCTGACAATACTAACTATGATCTTTGGCTGAGATATTTTCAACAGTGTAGTAAAGCGGACAATATAATACCCTGTTTAAAATGGCTGTATTACTTCTCAAAAAAGTATAGGTCCTCTTAAGATGGAATCTCAAACAAAGGCTGCTCAGACTACCATGTTTGAAAAATTATTTGCATGTTTGGGCTGTTATTTTGGCTTTCAAAAAGCTGAAAGGACAGTATCCTCCAATGGATCGTAATATTCTTCTAGGCAAATCCAACAGGCTTTTGGTAAATTCATTTACAAACATTCAATTTTTAATGCATATCAAAGAAACAAGACTAAAGTTATCATATGGCTCAGGTATTCATGGATTGTCCTGTATATAACAAATGGCAAGGGTATGCAGATGGAAAAAAGTCTCTACCTGGCATTTCTTTAGCAGGAGAAGTAGTATTACAATGAGACGGGGGTACAAATTCAATTTGAAAATCAGAATTGTCATTGACAGAGTAATACTGAGGTGGTCTGGCATAGCCATGTAGGATCAGTGGGTCACTGAGCAGGCTACCTTTTTAAAAAGTCACAACAAAACTGTACACATGCATGAACATACATTTGCGTATGGAATTATAATGACAGAATCTATCACAGGAGACATTCTACATTAAAAGTTGTGCATAGTTAATATTTCACCACTGCTGTGCTTGAAAAGCAGAATTCTGGAGGAGGAACTTCAGATGTGTGTGAGGACTCTGATCTTGCACTCTGGGCAATTTGGTTACCAAGTAAGCCCTTCCAGGGCCAAACCAATTTTAAAACATTTATCTCCAAGCAGCTTTAATCCAGATATGCAATTTCACATTATGAATATTACTAGTTCTTAACTGACTACAATGTTCTGAGACTGTGGTATCGCCTTCCTCCAATGTGGAGATGTTTTAAGTCTCTCCAATTAATGATTCAAGCCTCAAAGCCAGATGATTCCCATCAGGTTCTTCAAGGATGTGGCTCTTTGATTTTTAATCCTTCCTTTCCTGGCAGCTCTTGCTGGAATTCTTTTACTACAGGCATTAATACAAGCACAAAGCAGCTTCTCTTCTTCCATTGGCTACAAGTTCAAATGGACTTTGAAAAAGCACAGTCCGTTGGTGCATTAAAAAAATCAGGCATAGTTATTGCTTGAGATTCTCCCCTCCCCTCCCCTTTTAAAATTTGTTTGAAGAGAATCTGTGGTTGGATGCTTTTTTTCTCCTGGCAATCTTCTTAGAACATTCTTGACAAATATGGTTTTTGCCGTATAATCCATTCTGCATGGGGGTTCACATGATAAAGGTCTAAAAGGTATGTGTCTGGGTCCAGGCAATGCTCATCTGTTGAGAGGAGAAAAGCATTTTTCAAAGTGTTAGTCCAACTTATACACCTGTTCATCTAGCCTGTGCCTCATCATGTATGCATTCATTTCAAATGGTTTAATAAATGCAGCCAGACTTTGCAAAGCAACTCTCCTATCTTGTCTGGACTACAAGTGAAGATACTGGGGGGAGGGGGATGACCCAGTAACCAAAAAGTTTCAACTGAACCTCCCCCACTGAATTCCTCATACACCTGCCCTGACTGGAAGCACCAGTACAACTGCGTACAGAGATAGTACAGAGATACAGAGAAAGTACAGAGATACAAACAGGATAATAACAGGTCCACTATTAAGTGCTCAACATTATACTGTTGATGGACATGTGAGGAGCTGGAAACTGGCATTCAATGGAAGTCCCTTGGGAAGAGAAGCCATATCCTCAGCTTAGCTGTCCTCCTATTCTTACAGTTATCCCTCAAATTCAGATGGGACCATAGAAAGCTGTCCAATACAAGTGAGATTATTTGTCCATCAAATCCACTACTGCCCACTTTGACTTACAATGGCTCTCCATCTCTTAGGCAGAGGGCCTCCTCATGCCCAAAACTGAGACTTTTAACTGGAGATGACAGGGACTGAAACTAGGAACTCACATGTTCCACCGATTAACAGGCAGGAACAACATCAAAGACTGGATAGGGTATGAAATGGTGAGGAGCAGAGACGTCTGAATCAGCAACAAAGTCTGTGTCCTCCCCGCCCCCCAGTATATGCCTCTGTTATGCAGATTTTTGAAAGGTTCATATTTTTCTCATGCAGATTAAAATATGCTTGCATATGTTTTTCAAAGATGTGCATTTTTCATGCACATTTTTGGATACATCTTTTTATTTTATGAATCATGTCAGAAGTCTGTTTGTGCCAGTCTTTCCTTCTGGGAGGTACAAACTGGCCAAAGTCTGATCCAAGATAAACTCATACAGTTCTGCTACATGGGAGATGGAGGGGTGCTGCCTGTGGCAAGGAATCTTGACCTCCAGTTTTCAACGTGCAGCAGTGGCTGCCTGTCGTTCAGAGGATCTGATCCTCTGCACAGATGCACACACAGCACGATGGTGAACCCACCCCCAGAAGAAGCTGTTCACACCTGGCACTTACTCAGAGGTTTGTGTAGGAGTCATAGGTTAATCAGCAGTATAGAAATGTTTTTTTTTTAAATCCTATCCTCCCCCACAAAAAACCCATTAGCTACATCTTACTGAAAAATAAGAACACTAATATGAATCATACCTCTTACCAGACATGCCAATATTCTGCAGGTTTGCTCATATCATTAAAAACATGCTTTGGGGAAGGGGTGAAGAATCCATTTTTAGAAGCACCCATCCACACCCTTTCCTCCACATCCCCAACTGTCGTTTACGGTACAGAACTATGCAAGTTTAGATAGAAAAATGTCCTACAAATTCTAGCTTGCCCCAGCTGGCAAGTTTTAAACATTTCTACACTTCTTCACCTCAAATGATTTAACAGTTTACAAAAATTATGGAGAGAGGGAAGGAAAAAGTGCAGCACTACTATTTTCCCAAGGCAAGGCTTTCTGCCCTCCTATCAGATACAGCTGGGGTACTGTGCTATTGTATCAGTGAAAAGGGGAGAGCTACAAATCCCCAAAGCTAAGAATGTGACTGAGGCAAACAGTGCTTGAATGTATGGAAATGCCCATGGGTAGGTTCCTTGCTGCCTCTGGCCTAGAAATGCTCATTTCTAGTTGATGACCATCCATTTCTACAGCAGCTCCTGCCTTCTGCTGCCTAATCTCATCTCTTAACTCACTAGCCCATGTCCCCCACAAAATGTCGATATTTCACATTCACATACTTATGTTTCCACCAACTTCATAAAGGAGCAGGTTCACTGAATCCACCGAGCCATTACTGCAAAGTAAAATTAACAAAAGAATTAACTCTGTGACAACCAACTCCAAAACCAAGACAACTGAATATTGCCTAAGATGCAGTTCAGTAAAACTCTGGTGAGCAACGACAGTATTGGATACTGCCCAGGCTTTGTGAAATCACTGGGCAGTATCAAATGCTGCCCCTGCACTAGAAGAACGGTTAGGTCAACAGAAAACTAGCTCTAGTCCAGGAAACTAACCATTCCAGAACAGGACAAGTCAGGAAAGTTTTTCTGCTGGCCTATCCTACTCCAGAAGGGGGTGTTTCAGCTAGCTTCTTGCCTTGCATTAGCAGTCATTCATGCTATTGAAACATACGTAACAGCAACTGGACAATATCCGCTCTGGACAACTATGGCAAGGAGGCTAACGGCCCTTCCTGCTTAGAGCCTGAAGAATGGTCCTGTGCACTGTGTGTGCTGCGCGATGCTATTCTATGTTATGATGGACATATTTCATTAAATATAAATTATTACTGATATGTTTCTGTCGTGCATATACCAGGTCACCCTGGCAAGGAAGGCGGCAGTGATCAGAATAATAATTCTAATACTGCTGCCTACTCAGCCTAAAAGCAATTACCAACTTAATTCAATTTTATACCCATTTAAAGGCACGTGTTAATTCTAGATCACCCAGCATTTCCCAGCCAGCATAGCTACACCATAGCCCTAAATTTCGACTGCCATTCCCTCACCCTGGAACATCTGGCAATCACAGCATTGTGAGAGGTAGCCAGGCAGTCTTTCAAAGAGCATTCTCTCAAGTTTCTCAAGAATAAAAAGGCTAAGAAAAAAAATCAATGTCTATCGGCAACAGCAGCCAATTCAGGAGATGCCTGAATGTATTAAGGAAAAACTGCAGCATCCCAAGTGGAGAAGGCTGCTGTAATAGAGTATTAAGGGCTAATGCCTCAAATCCACTGTGACATGCACCGGAGTTGCCTCCATATTTCACCTTGTGTGCTTCAGAGCTATGTCACTTACCGAAAGGAGCAGAGAGACCGTATTTACAGGTGCAAGTAGCCATACAAATTGCAAAAGATTTTATAAGTCAGAGTTACTCCTAAAGAGTGACCGTGATGTAACTGGTCTCTTGTTTATTACACTTATCTTTCAAAAGCACTCAAGACTGCTTGAAAATGCCCTCCAGTTTAAGCAGCTAATAGAGACATTTCTGCTTAATATGACATCAGGCCCTCTTCTGGGTATTGGCCCACAGGGTTCCTAGGAATATCAGTACCTAACCTACAAGGTTACAATTAGCAATATTGGATGAATCTGCAATGGATACAATTGAGTTTAGAGGTCTATGAATCCAACCCATGGATTCAGCAGCAGAATGCAGTGAAATGGCCTTTTCTATGTCACTTGCTGATGTAGTCTCATGCTAACGTCTTTTAATGTTTCACATATTATAGAATACTTCAGTCATTCAAAAAGGACACAGAAAAAGATGCCAACCAAAAAAAGTGCATTTGCCCCATAGGTTGAAAAACTTAAGCTAGCCCAAGACTCTTTTATACTGCTCATTTAGGAAAGGAGATTAGAACTGCCTTCAAGAAAGTAAGAAGCAAAGGGAATGTCTATTTCAGCATTCTCCTACCTGATGCCCTGCACAGTTTTGGACTACAACTTCCAGCATTCCTACCCATTGTCCGTAAATACTGGGGTACACAGGAGTTGAAGTCCAAAATATCTGGAGATCACCAGGGCACTCATTTTCCAGCCACAGAAGATGCAAATGGAAAAGATCTCTATTAAATTCTGCTGGTCTGACTACAATTTCCAATGGATTATTACTTGGCAAAGTAGGGGAAAGCTGTTACCATTTTAACAGGTTGACTGTGTTGACAATATTCTGAGAGCGATTCTTCTGGAACTGTCTCAGGACATCAGCAGCTTTGGTTCCATTGGTTAAGTGAACTTCTAAGGAGTCCTTTAGGAACAGAGAAGCCTGGACCTTGACTATTTTGGAGGGCTGAAACATGGAGGAGGTAGCATGGGGAAAGGAGAGGGAGCAAGAATACAGAAGTAAAAAAAAAAATCATCCAAATACATGCACAAGTAAGTATGAAGCTGTAAGGAATGAACAGGCATGCTATCTCAGAAATGTTCTCTGCCTCTGAATATCTGTTATGTATGCCTGCCTTCATCAGATTAGGCAGTGATGGCAAAGGACAGGACTGAAGCAAAGATGAAGACTAAAATTACTTTCGTCATATAGCTACCAAAGTGGTACCACTGGACTAGAATAAAGCAAGCATAAGATAAATAGGATAAGCATGAGCGCCCCCTGGTGTATGCACAGTGAACATCCTTACATTTCCAGCATGAATTCTCACTCAGTCATCAGAGAAAGCATTAAAGCATTCGTATTTCATTAAAGCAGTTTGTCAGGATCCTCAAAGCCTGGCTGCTCAAGTTCACTCTCATCATGAAGGGCTCCCCTGAGCCCTGCAAAGTTCCATGTGGAACTGACTCCAGAAAAAGAAAAAAAAGGGCTGCTTCTCTACCACTGAACTCAGTACCAACTTAAAAGCAGACAGACAAAGAAAATAGAAGAAAATACTTTCTTTAAAATGCAAAACTAGGGAACAGCAGATCATTCCTAGATTGGACTGGATCTCAGGTTTTGCTCCAGCGTCAGCCCAAAACTTGGCTGCATGAGACAAGAACAAGATGATGACCCTGCCTCAGTCCACGTACAAAAGCTGGCAGTTCAACCAGCCGAAACATCTTTTTGAGCACTAGTGATGAGAAAGCATCCTCGGCTATGCTTGCAGCAGCAAACAAGCTTATGGGCACAGGGTAGGCTGCACTGCACTCAGCATTCCTCTCCAACACCCTTCTGAGGTTTCAGCCACCTCAGCCTAATAGTACGGCTGGCCTTGTCTGCCACTCAACTGCTCTTGCAACTGTTACATTTCTTTTTAGGAAGGCCTGTATCACTTTGTCCGTCCCATCCTGTCCCTTGGTTGAATAACAGCTAAGCTTTGAAGTGAGAATATCCAGCTGAAAATATTGTAAAGGGCACCTCAGACAGCAGCACCGGTACCCATCCCTGGAACATGTGTGTCATGTAGCTGTAATGCTGGTGAGTCACTGTGTTCTCACACTTTTCATTTGTTCATGTATACATGCATGCACAGACACAATCCTTGGCATATACCTTTAGCAGCCTTTGCCTGTATCCAGACCAGTCTTATTGTGCGCATTATGCACATTCTAGTCAGCATAGAACGGCTTTTCCTGTCATTTCCACGTGCCAAAAAGTGATCGTGCATGGATCTGGGCTTCCCTAGTCTCACCCTTTGATGGTCAGCAATATGGTAAGTGGGCAGGAAGAATGTCACTCACTTCACTATGGTTCTTCTCTGTCTTTTCCTTGTCTGTGTGAATCTTCCTTAACAGATTTTTGAACTTCCTGTCACAAAACTGGTACTTCCTGCTGTTGCTCTCGTTCATTTTTCTTACTTGAGTTACCAAGAAAGACGCAACCTGAAAGAAATGGAAAAGTGAAGGGAGGGGAGAGGGAGAGAAAGACAGAGGTGACTATTTTGTCATACAATTTACTCATGACCCAAAAATGCTGACAATATCTCCTGAAGACAGGGGAAACAGAAGACCTAGGAGTAAGAACACCAGAAGATCAAGCAGTTTGATCTTCCTTCACACCAGTCTGCTACTGAGCCAAGATCAATGTTTTATTACTGTCATATAAAGTCTGAAACAACTTGGGTCCAGGTTACCTGAAAGATAATCTCCCCCGATATAGACCATTGGACCACTGCAATCCTCATGGGTGGCCTTGCTCTGGAATGAAATCTCTCTGGATCTCCTGAGACCCAATTTGACACAACCACCACTTTGTCACATTGACTTCTTCTGTCTCCTGCAGAACTTCTGCTTCCATTATGTTCTCCTTCCTGCACCTTAGTTTTAGGTCTCTCTGTGCTGCTTATGGGCTTTTTACAGCATCTTTTACTCTCCTACTTCTGATACTTGGAACATGTTACTACACACTGGTTCCCCTTGGTTCCCTTTCCTCATTTCTGTCTTCTACCACATGTTCTACCTTCATGTGAACACTTCCCTCCTCCTAACATGTCATGTTAAAATTGGCATCCTACATATTTTTTTTCAGGAAAACCTTCTTGTTCTCAAAGCTAACTCCTTTCTCATGCTTCCTCTTCCAGTTTATTCTCCTATCCCTGTTTTATTTGGGACTATTGCTCCTGGCTCTGAGTACTGACAAGGAACCAAAGCTATTTAAACTCTGTTACTTGGCACCTGGATCTCTGGTAACTTCACCCACTAGACCCCTGGAACCCACTGGTTGTTTCTAAACCATCCCTGGCATTGTGGTTCTTCACATGACAAGAACGTTTTTTAGACTGGATTTTTTAAACTTGTGAATTCTAATAACCTTGATTAACTATTAAACTTGTGAATATGATCAACCATCAGCTGACCTGCAGATCCTGAACTGAATGTCAGCACATTCTCCTCCCCACTTCATTTGGAATTCTCAACTTGCAGAATGAATTCACCATCAAGTCATTTGTATTTTTTCTTCTCCTCCCCATTCCCTGCCTTTCCCAACAAACCTGTTTTTGTAACATCTTGCTGGAAGAACGTATCCAGAGATCTTGAAAGTCTGCTTTTTTGCATGCAATCTTTTGGTTGGTCTAGTGAGATATCATGCTGACATACCTTTAAATAAGAATCAATCAATTCAAATGCAACACATACTTGAGTGTTATTACTAGCAGTTTAAGAATGGCTTAGGAAACATGACCCAACTTACTGTCCACAGCAAATCCTGGTAATGAATCATCATCCGTACTATGTCTGCTGCTCCTTCTGCTAGGTGTTTCTCCTTCCCTTCTGGGATCTTGTTTGGTAATCCTTTGTGCATGAAGAGATTTGGGGCAATAACTGTAGAAACGTTCCAAAGAGTCATTTTGTTTTTTCTCTCCCTGGTAACCACCAGTCTTAGAAATTCCAGCAGAGCCTGCAAGAGAGCAGAAAACTGTGCTTATTGTCAAAAACCAGCTGCTAGCAAACAAGAAATCATAGCATGGCAAGAAAAGGAATGGCAAAGACTGCTTACAGATAAGAGCTCTTTCCTTGAAAGAACTGCAGTATCAGGAGATTACTGTGTTGTCTTACTCTCCTTACTATCCTAAAAACATAATGCTGTACTACTGTGCACATTAAAATGCTTTCATGTCAGGGCAGCAGACTAGATGAGTTCTTAATTGTAATCTGCAGGGTGAAAACAAGTTCCCAATATTGCCAAGAAATCTACTATTTCAAAATATGGGTCTTACATAGCTTTACAGTGATTCACTCCTGAGAAACAATACCATTAAAAACTAGAGTACAAGGGCGAATTTATTGGGTAACATAGACATGCACTAAACAGATGAATAAATGAACTAAAGATGATGTATAAATTGCACCTTGAAATGGAATTCAGGGTGGCATGTAGGCTACATTTGTCAATATTCATTTGTTCATGAAGGTAATGTATCCATATACAAAGATAAAGAGTTTTTAAGCACAGGATAGTATAATATGGATGAGACTGCTAATCATTTATACCATGGTCCATCTATCCCAGTTTACGAGGAGCTTTCAAGGTATAAGGCGGACAAGAACAGAATGCCTTATCAGCCTCGCCAGACAAGGACCCAGTAACAGGAGAAGGCAATAGAGGAGCACAAACAGAGGAATCACTGGCTCTGTTACCAAGCTTGTCTTCTCCCTGCTGACTCATGGCCACAGGAAGTGCACAGCTCATGACACTCATGACCCAGGTGCATGGCAACAGTTCCACAACAACTGATACCACAAGTGACGGTCACATTACCTTCAGGGTGTTCCGGTTGGGTTCTGGCAAAATCAGTATAAGGAGATTGAGAGCCTGCAGCCTCTGTTTCAGGTCTGGGATATCTGTAGTGGAGAGAACAATCTACATTTGAAATCTGTGAAGAAGAAACCTTTAGCCCTGGAGCCTCTCTAAGACATTGTATCACCTGTCAGAGTGCCCAAGTTGCAGAGTTCACACTTGCCCTCAGCTCAGCCACAGTGCATTCAACATGCACTTACACAGGAAACCTTAAGCACAGAGGAGTACATGCTGCCAGCACCAGGAAGAATCAAACTTCCATGGCTGCCATTATTCAGACTACTTCAGTACACAGACACTGCCATGTCCAAATCTCTGACTGTCACTGTTTTTGTTCCTATGCAACAACCTGAAAAAGCTTGTGCATTAACAGAATACAGCTAATCATCAATCACATCTGTACCACACCATCCTTCCAAGTAAGTCTGGACAATTTAGGTTCAGAATTGCCCATGAATGAACAAGAAATTCCACCCTCCACATACACAAAGGGTCAAGATCCCTTAAGTCCATGTCCAATTGAAAGACCCCTACATCATACTAGCTCTCTAATGTACTGGACAAGGAAGTGAATGAGGAAGTAGTTCTTAAAGCTGTAAAGGACTGCAAGAAGCTGGCCTCTTTGGCCAAGGACTCACTCTGCACAGCTGCGAAAGCAGGCAAGTATTCCGCTGTCAGGAGAGGAGTGGGAAGTTCCCGAATGAACCTCTTTAACAAGCCAGACACATCATTTTGGTGCACCTCGTCCCACTGGAAGACGCCAGTATAGAATTCACTTTCCAGTTTTTGTTCCAGACTCTGAAGGAGGAAAATAGTGATTTATTATCCCCAATAACCACAATTCTCTAGGCAGCAAACTGGTAAATTGAGGAAACAAAATACAAAAAGCAAAACCATGGTAAGAGCTACACACAGTAAAACCAACAGGGTAAAAATAATTCAGCAAAATAAACACAGTGCTACAAATGCCTAGGATAAATTCACTTAGTATCAAAAAGACCACAATAGAGGTAAACCTCTTTGGGGAGACTATTTCACAGGTAGAGTGCCACAACTGAAGCTACAGGTAGAGCCATAACCTGATAGTGGAAAAGTGTCAAAGACCCAATAAAAATTAAAGGTTGGAGTATAAGGGGAAAGCAAAGCAGTGTTTCTACAGAACGTCCTTTTCATCCCACATCTCAACTCTGAAAAAAGAACTACAAATATTATTAATAGACTAGGGTCTGCGGGGTGCAAGGCTTGCATTTTGCAAGTGACAAAATACACTGCACTATAAAAATTGGGAAAATTGAGATGTCCCCCAAGAACAGTAAGAGAAGAACTAGTTGGAGGAAAGCCAACTATAATTATCCTGTAACACATGACAATTTACAGAACACTGTGTGTGTGTGTGTGTGTGCGCGCACGCACTCAGACACACGCGTGCAAAAAGGAGGTGAGCACAACAACCGTTTGGAAGGATTATTATGTCTTCAGAAGAGTCTACAGAAGAGATCATTTCTGCTTCCAGCTGCCCCCTTCTGGTTTAGCCAAGAATAGCAACTTATACTGACACTTCTGCAAGCAATAGGAGGCAAAGAAAAATATACCAAACATTTTACATTCACTAACACACACTACTACCCTGCATTATACCAGTGGCTTTCAAAATATCTCTTCTCAAGAAACCCTTTTCACAAAAACAGACCTGCTCAGTATCCTCTTAACTTGCTACAGAAGATCCAGAGCATGCTCCAAAACCCTCAAGGTGGCTGGGGCCTCACTGTCACCTCACCTTACACACACAGAGTGTGTTTGTGATCTGCATCGAGAATCCCTGTAGCCTGTCAGCCTTTTAAACTGATAAACTAAGAGCACATCCCCAGGATCTCTTAATGACGCAACTATAAACAATGTGAGCTAAGTAACCCTGAATATGAGGTGAATGTATCTGGACAACACACAATAACTCCTAGGGGGTGGAGTCCTGAAAAAGGCCCAGGGGCTGTGACTGGGGTTCAGCAATACTACTAGGGAAAGAGCGAAAGGTATAAGGATTTGCTGCATTAGGCATCTACCCATCACCATTACTTCCTGCAGGTCTACTCAGAGACATGCTGTTCAAGTTGGGCAGATCAAGACTCACATCCTCCTCATTGTATGGCAAAACCAGTGGGGTTATATAGCTAATGATGCAGGTTTTATTCACCCAGCTCTGTATTCCTTTTTTCTCTCTCTCCCCACACACCTACCCACCTCCCGGCAGGAACAAGGTAACTTGCTAGTGTAGTATTCTCCTTTATAATATCCAGGCACCAAAAGATGCTAGGTCTGGCTTTCCCGAACTCGTGCACTTCAGATGATTTAGACTTAATATCCCATCTGCCCCAGCCAGCATGGCCAGTGCTCAGGAATCCTCTGAGCTACCATCCAAGACATCTGGAGAGCACCAAGCTGAGAAAGACCATGCTAGAAGGTCCATCAGAAATGGGCCAGCAGACCACAGGTGAGCCATGGGCCTCCTTCTGACCACTTTTGTTTAGGGCACTCTCCTACATCTGAAGAACGAAAGTGACAGCTGCCCACCTATTAGAAAATTCTTGAGTAGCTCATGAATGACTTCTGATATATCTCCCCCTGCACTATACCTTAATGCGGCTCTGTGATCCTGAAACTCTCAAGATTCCTTCAGTGTCTAGCCCCCTTTTTTCCAAACAGGACAGCAACTAGGAAGCAAAATGGAAGGATTTCAGCATAAAAAGACATCAAGAGGTTACGGCAAAATTGCAAGCAAAGGATAAACACCCACCCCCCACACGCAAACTTAACCACAAAGACTTACTGCTTGCAGGATTAATGGAACTCTGGTATTTGGGAGGAGCTTCTGATCATTTTCTAACAAAGTGCCAAGGGGAACTCCAAAAAGCTTATGCTCTGCAATGGGGGATACAGTGTTATACGTCACTATTTATAAATATTTCATAAAAAGTATGACAGCAATCAGCAGAAAAACAGAAAGTGATGGCGTGGAAATCATTAGCAGGGCAAACTAGCAAGATATAGCAGGAAACAGCTATACTTAACAACAGTCAACAGAAGCAAAATGGTTTTTTCCCCCAGAAGCAATGGAATACCAAAAAGGCAATTTGGCATGACTGTAATTTTACAGTGGGATGTCACCACAGAATGGACTCACTCTGCACTGTGGTCAGCTTGACATGTCACAGCACCAATTGTTCAGGTGTGATGCACCCAGTTCCATGCTAGAGGGCGTGCTTATAGGTTAATTTGTCCCAGATGTGCAAGTATTTGTCCTAGGAGTATCTCACAAAAAAGTAGGTACAACAGAGCCCTGTGCACGTCTTGCATGAGACTGTGTAAGTAATGCCAGTCCACACTAGCTCCTTCCCTATTTGGTGTGTGGATAGGAACAAATGGCCCAGTGCTGATGGAGCCCAGAGCAGTCCAGCACTCTATTCACCCAGTGGCTGCCCAGCTGTCCATGGGAAACCGACCAGCAGGGCATGAGTGCAGCTGCACCTTCCCACACACGTTCCAAGCAATTGGCATACATACGGCACACTGCCTCCGATACTGCAGTAACCATAGAGCCACCAGGACTAGTCGTCCTGGAGAGCCTGATGAATCTGCGCAACTTTCTTTTAGAACTGCCCACACTGGTGGAGATCAGTTCAACCTGTGGAAGCTGGGATAGAGAACCTCTCTTCTAGTGCGCAATTCCTTCAAGTGGACCATATGGCAGTAGTGAGCTGGACCAGAGCCCCTGCATCGCATCGCATCCCACCCCTCACTCGCTCACACTCCCCTCCATCCTCACAAGCCTTCTAATGTCCTCTGTATCTCCTCCTCTTTCTCCCTGCCCCATCTGACATCCCCTCATCTATCCCAGCTTGTCCTATGGCCATTAGGCTTAGCAAAACAGGTTTCATTTGCATGACTTGATCCTATTTTTCTAAGTTGAGGAATTATTTTAGGAGGACACAGGGAGGGAGGGAAGCATTAGCCCTTCTACCCCCAGATATGTGTGCATGCGCATATACATGCTCACACACTTAGTAATTAGATGTACAGGTCCCCTCCTCAAACTACTTGTGTACACAGGTACACAAGGTGGAAGTAATGCTGTGGGCTGGACCAAGAAGCATCCCAGACCAATGGCTCCGAGGCTCCCCACACCCACTTCACCTGCATCAAATTTGCTGAATGATCACATTAGCAATCAGGGAGGGAGAAAACTCTTGCCGGCACTCCTCTCTCTTTCAAATCTGGCACACTACCAACTGCGGCTTTCCCTAATTGCAATCACTGACAAGAATTACATGAAGTTAAATTCATAATTAAAAGAGGAATGAGGAAAAGCTACCTGCCACTTTCCGTTTTACTGCCTTGTTTCTCTTCAGCTCTAAGCCAACGACGTCACAGAGAGCAGTTAGCTCAATGAGTGCCAACGTGGGGATTTTCTTCATATCTTGCAGCGACAGATCACCTATCCTGGTTACTCCCAGCCTGCCTTTGGAGATACTAAATTTCTAAACCAAGAAGGACAAAAAGGAAGGATCAGTGTGACCCTTCAGGGCCAATACTAACAGAGAGCTTTGGCTGTTGGGTGGTATAGAAATTAAATTAAATAAATAAATAAATAAATTCTGCCAATGTTCTCCTTTCATTCTTTTTTCCCCTTTTCATTATCAAATGCACACATGCACCCAAGTAAATGAAACAAAGTCTTACAGGTAAAAAACTCTCATCCTTGATCCTCCTAGATTCCCTTGGGAATGATCCTTTGAGAAGGATGGCTGCTTGCTCTGAATAAGCAATTTCTGTGCTGAAGAACTCTTCTCTTGCAGAACCCCTCAATGGCGATGGGAAGTCTTGGTTTTCCACTGTATCAGCTAAGGGGGGGGGGGATTTGGGGGGGAAAAACAGAAATAAAAAATCTTTATATAAGAGATCTGTAAAGCTAATAAGAACAGCAGAAATAGATGGATGGCCTCACAGCCTATGGACTGAAGTTCCATTTTAAACAACCATTTTAATGGAATATCCTCTGACAATATATTACAGTCTATGATGGGACTGAACTTGCCTGTTCTTAAACTTTAAAATTACTGGCAAAGTCTTGGTATAAAAAAAATTGCAGCAACCTGGTCTGAGTGTAAATTTTTATTCTGTATTTTCTTGCTCATGTGAACACGCAAGAGAATTTGGATATTTAACAAGTTGCAATCAGTATCAGTTAAGAGCAACAGTTTTACTCCTACTATTTTTAATACTTAAAATAACTCAGCTCCTGAAAATCACTGTATCAGTGGTCTTATATTTCAATTTGCAATATATATGGAAAGACATTAAAGGAAGCAAATACCATGGAAAATATTTGCATAAAACTACTCTTAGTGAGACACTTATAATGTAATGCTACACACATCTACATACAGGTAAGCCCCATTCAGTTCAATGGAACTTACTCCTAATGTATACAGGACTGCAGTCTAAAGAAAATTCCATTGCAGGATCCTTCATACCTACTTCAGCATTTAAGGACTACTTAGCTTGTACACTCTCAGGTAGGAATTATAGATCTTCCGCTTCTAAGCAATACTCTGATAGGGTTCGGATAACTCACCACATTTCACTAAGGTTATTTAACCCATGACTAGCCACCACACCCACAAACTTCAGCTTGCATAAGCAACTCTCGCTCAGGGAGAATAAACCCAGACAACATGAGTTATCCAACCCCCACACAGCCCTAAACAGACCATGGGTATTTATCACAGAACCCATGCTTGCCAGCTTTGCATGACATATTCACATGTCTATTCAACATGAGGGCCACCTGAACATCAGCCCCTCTATGAATTAAAAGACCCATGGTGGGTTGACATGTTATTCAAACAGCCTCCTACGTTCTCTCCATAATACACTTTCCTTCTTACATTTCTGAATGGCGTTTGATGATGCAGACCTGCGGTGCAATCGATCTATTTCTGAGTCTGTTCCTGGTTTGGTCTCCTAGAGAGAGAACACAGAACAAGTAAAGTCACATGCAAAGAAATCTACGTAGATAGGATGGCAACTAAATCCTAGAAATAGGAGAATATGCAACAAAAAGTAGGTATCCCCATTCTTGCAGAAGAAAAAGGTAGGAATCTAAAAATATTCCTATCCTCCAAGGTAAGAGATAAAATGCTTGTGTTCGAAGCTCTCATTGTTTGTCAATGGTACAACTGAACTAAAGAGTACTCTGATTCTCTCTCTCACACACACATAAATATATGTAATATATAATATATATGTGTGTGTGTATATATATATATACACATATGTGTGTGTGTGTATAATATACATGTGTGTGCATATACAAATCTGCAATCTTAAATAAGAACTGGAACAACCAGTGGCAAAGCACTTTATTTAGGAAGATCCCAGCCTTTCTCATTTACCAGTGCTGCAGAGATGCCACCTGATCCAGTAACATTGGAAGCAAGAGAAAAAACTTATGTATATATAGCCTTAAGACCTTAATGCCACATAGCTTTAACCCATTCCATACTTCTTTGTGCTATGCCTGCCATATCAACTACAGGATACTTTGATTCATGTGAGAACATCTGGAAAAGGCAGAAGTTGAAACATTTTCCTTTAAGATTCAGTTTTCCTACTCTGAACTGAGTGTGATCACCACATACACACGTTACACATGGCGGCTGCAGGGAGACAGAGAAAGAGGGAAAGATTGATATTTCATTTTTATGCTACTCCAGTGAAGAGCAGAACTCAGAATTGAGGGACAACAGCAAACATGGTGGATGAGTCCTCTTCCCCATATGGAAGATAGTTTGTCAATTCAAATTATTGCCAACCAGTGGTTAGTAATTTCTTAGGCAGTTTAATAAATGTTGTGGCACAGAGTATCAAGCTATGACTTCAAAGAAAGGGATTTGGAATAAAGCCTGCCTTGTTTCTCCTCATCTTGAAATCACATGTCTTAATTTACATGCTATGAAAAAGGTACTCTGCACATGCTTGGGTGTACTCATGATTTCTGCATTTGTTTCAGTGCTTATGAATGCAAAGCATTTGGCTAAATTCTCTTTCAGATGTGAACTTAGACATCAAGTTAATGTAGATCAAAGGGCAAGAAGCAAATTGGTACATATGCAAGGTCAATGGAACCATCTGAGTCAGAGACATATCTTACTCCTCTTTTTCCTTTAAGAAGATCTGCAGATATCTCCAGAATGTAGCAGCTACAAGTCAGTGCATAACAGGCATGCCATACATTACTGAGACATAGCAGGTCTCCCAACGAACCTTACAGAGTATTTAACAAGCTGGGTTGTTCAAGGGCAGGAAGATTGTTTTGTTGGCTAAAAACGTATGATTGGGATATGGCAGGTAAGGTGCAAAGGTTCTAAAAGTAACTCAAAGCCACAAACAAGGAAACTATGCTCTGTGTTTAAACAAGTCAGAAAAAGTGACTCAATTGATGGTCGTTAAGCTGCCAATCACAGTTAAAAGTCCAGATGTTTTTGTGAAAGGAACTCATCAACCCTTGGTTTTAAGTCATTTTTAAGTTTGATTAAAATTAGATTCAATTTTAATCTGTTTAAAATTGAACTTTTTAATAAATTGTTGAATAATTCAGTGGAGAGAATTGAAATTGATACAACTGCAAGTTAAGGATACACTTATTTTTATTTTAAAAAACTATTGTTTTTGGCAATATAATAGGAAATGAAACTGAAAAGGAGTAACAAACATCCTTCCCCATGCAAATAGCAGTTGCAAGAAGGGACAATTTTTGACCACTACACCACACTGGATTCGACAGCAGGATTCAACCTTATCAGTCAAGACGCTTTACGAAATAACTTTCACTCCAATCGGTTAAGGAGGAAGAGCCAGGAGGTGTACAGGAAATGGGTGGGGGGATGAAAGAACCAGCCGCAGACAACAATGCATGGCCTAAACATACCCCAGAGCCAACCACTCCAAAAATGTCTCTGACATCACGGACAGGCTGCTTGTTCTTCTTCCTTCGGGAGCGGGTGTAATTATCCAGCCGTCGCTGCACAGCTGCTGCCTGCGTCTTGGTCAGCGTGGAAAGCAGGACAATGTTGCCATTCTCCACAGCATGGTCCCCAATCAAGTCAGAGAGCCCTGCATCTTGCAGCCATTCTGCTTCAGCTTCCCCTTCTAAATATCAAGAAATATGGAGATGATTCCTCAGAGAAACGGAGGACTAAAAGCCTATCATTTTAGCCAAACATGGTTTAAGGTAGGGCTGGGGAACCTTTAGATGCTGAATGACCATTCACCTGATGCTCAAACAGCACAGCAATAGTGAGGGATGATAAAGAGTAGTGACTCATCAACATCTGGAGGGCCACAGATTCCCCAGCCCTGTTTTAAGGCTCTCCTCTTACTATATAAGAAACAGAGTAGGACTTGTCCAATCCTGAGCTTTAGTGGTCACTTCCACCCTCACCTCCACACTAGAACGGGAGTTTGTGCTATTAACTACTGCATGACAGACACAATGTCAACACGTGTTTTCCAAAGCACAGAGTAGGAGGGATGGAAATACGCTGTATTTTACCCTCTAATTCTGCTGCTAAAGTCAGAGATCTCCTTATTAAAGCCATATAACCCCTTTGCTTATTGAGTCAAAATATTGGTTCATTTAGTGCAGTATGTCCAGTCCAACTGGCAGCAGTTTTCCAAGGCATCAGGCAGGAGTTTTTGCCATCCCAGCTACCCAAGTTCTTCAGCCACAGATATCCCATCACTAAATGAAACAAGGTCCCTAGATGCAAACGACCTCAAAGGCAGCTCTCTGGGTATCTATCACAAACAAGTCAAAGTTTAAATACAAAACACAATTCAAATTTCACCTCTGCTACGCCCCTCAAACTCCTATTTGCACTCTGGGGTTATTACTGACCCACCTCACAGGTCTGTGGGGAGTATTATCAAGTAATTATTAGTAATTACTTGGAATACTCCAAAAATAGCGGAATGCTTAAGTTGTTGTTACTACTACTAATAAAATGGAGCTGCCCTGACAAAGATGCAGATGGTCTTTCATAAATTATGTTCCTCATATATTTTTTCTCAGTATTTCTGTAGTTCCATTTCTTTTGGAGGGCTATCAGAATGCTGGGATTGTCATATCCCATCTACATATAAAATACAGGGGCTCTGCTGCCATTTCCTTTGCCAATAAAATTCCAGTTCTCTCAGAAGGCTGTCCACTCTTTCTTTTCTACAAATTAATTCTCCTTCAAACACTTTGCATGTCACTTCTTTATTACTGCTCTTGTAAATACTTCATTTGGTTTTTTGTACACTTGGTGATTTCTAAAACACTTAGCAGGATGAATTACCAAAATCTATTTGCAGCACCATCTAGTGGCTCCAAACAAGTCGAGTAAAAATCTTTTTATGATACGGGAATTTATTGGGACAGACTCTCCAAAACACACTTTCAACCAAAAGAGGAGTATCCAAGTCTCCTATGTTGTTGCTTTGGTTTTCTTTTGATATGCATTTGCCACAAGTGATGACCAATTCTAAGCTGGCAATGATTCTTCTGAGTTCCTCAGGGAACAGGTAGGGACAGCAGTCCCTGGCAAAATTTCTATTTCTTCTCCCTTATGTCTAGCTGGATACGCAGGAAAACCAAGGAAGTGGTGTTACAAAACAAAAATCTATCTCTTCTCAGGCACGGATCAAAGTATACACTACATATTAATTACTTATCATGGTGTTTGACCATGACTCTTTCAAAGCCAGATTTAAACTAGATTTGGTGCCTTAAACCCTATGCTTCCACCACAACCCAAAGACAATAGTCGCTCAATAGTTGCCCGAGGGGAAGCTAACACTGATTCCAGTAAAAGCTTTCAGACCTTGGGTGTCAAGGTCTGAAACTTCGACTCAGTTCACCTCATGAGGTGCAAGTGAATGCAGGACAAGGAGCACACCTATAGATAGTTGCAAGGATTGGAAAATGAACAAGCATCTGGGAGCCCTGGGAGGTGCTAGAAGAGCCGTGCTGTTCAGTTTTGCTGTAGTAGCGTGGGCTTTTGTGCTGGTGGCTTTGCAGCCCCAGTCCTGCCTCCAGTCTTGTTTTGTCTTCAGTTCTGCCATGATCCCTGCCTGTTCCTGTCTCTGCCTTTGCACCTCTGGTTGACCCTGCCTTGCCTTGTCAGTATCCAATCCTCGCCTGCTACTGACCTTGGTTCTGCCTCCATTTTTGCTGTGCCTTGTCTATATCTTGGGCTTGGGTCCTGGTTACCTGAAGGAGCGCTTACATCCATATATGCCCGGCCACCCCTTGAGATCTGCGGGAGAGGCCCTTCTCCAGGAACCCCCCATGAAAGAAATTAGGAGGGTAGGTACTCGGAGGAGGGCTTTCTCTGCGGTGGCACCTAAGTTATGGAATGCGCTCCCCAGAGAGGTCCACCTGGCACCGTCATTATTTGTTTCTCGGCACCAGGCGAAGACCTTTTTATTTAAGCGGCATTTTAATTGTTAATATTATTGGATTTTATCTGGCCAGGGTGGCTTATTTTATATTTTATATTGGTATTTTGTATTTTTAACTTAATTTAATGTTGTAATTATTTTTTAACTTATTGTTGTAAGCCGCCCCGAGGCTTTGGCGAATTGGGCGGCATAAAAATGTTTTAATAAATAAATAAAATAAAATAAAATAAAATATCTGATCCTTGCTGGCTCCTGGCCTTGTCTTTACCTTTGGACTGCCATGCCTTGTCAGTACCTGATCCTTGCCTGTTCCTGAACCTGCTTTTACTTCTGGTCCTGTTATGGCTTCATGATGTCCAATGTTTGCTTGCTCCCACCTTTGCCTCTGGCCCTACCCCATCAGGTAAGATCTCTATCCACCTCCATGACCACTGGCCCAGGGGCTCCAACTACAGACATCTACTCCCTACATCCCAGACCTGACATATGGTAAATAAAAAAAGGGACATCTGCTACTACCACAGACCTTCAATCTGACTGGGGCTCTTCCTCTTGCAGCTGCAATGTATTTTTAAATACAATTATATAAGGGCTGATGACATAATCAGTACTGAGGTAGGCCATGTCAAGTGTACTTTAAGTAGGAAATTGGGATGAGCCCAGAGAATGCCCTCTTACTTAACAGATTATCATAGTAATCCAGCAGTTATAGAAACAATTCGCAGTTCTCACCACGCCTTTAAGATATTGTTACCTTCTGGGGGTTTGGCATCCGTAAGGTTGCACTCTTCTGGCTCAGATTCGGTACTTTCTTTGATGCTCTCCACCTCTAACCAAAATGTATCCATAGATAAATTGCTTGAGGAATCTGCTCTTGAGTGTCTGCGTTCTGGCTGCAGGAGCTCCATGGAGCTCTTCCGAGGAAAGCGGCTCATTTTGCAAGTGCAATTTCTGATGCTGGAAGGGAGGGAGAGAAAAAGAACCTTACACACAAGGATATTTGCTCATCATCCATACTTAGTGTGCAAATGTATCAACTTTCACCAAACCTAATCAACAAGGACAACTTCCAGAAGAGAGTCAAGATTGTAAAATGTTCTTTTTTGTTTGGTAATAGCAGGAACTGAAGGCTAACAATGAATCCAATGTTTGAAGCAAGTGGAACTTATAACAACTCACATTTCCTCATACTGTCATTTCTGTGACCTAGAAGGAAATGCCCTTCGGAGCATGCAAAAGAAACATCCAAGACCCAGATCAGGTCTGTGACCAAAAGGAAAACATTTGCAATCTTAAGAAAATTAAAGCAATCTAATTTGGATTGATCCTTATTTTCATCCCCTAAAATTAAAAGGGGGGGGGAGGGAGAAAGAATGTAACCAAAATCTATGCCTCCATATGTATCATTGTAGGCTACCAAACAAAGTGTTTGTCTTTCATCTAAGAGGATTTTGACAACAGCTGGGGCTCTGAAAAAAGCTTACAGCAGCCTCATCTAACCCTAGTGCCCTCCAGATGTTTTGGACCACAAGGCCCACTCCAGCCAGTATGACCAATGGGCAGGGGTTAGGCAGTTAGACAAAACATCTGGATGCCACCAAGGTCAAGCAGAGCTGACTTACAGTGTCCTTGAGCTAGACCACAACTCGATCTTTTACCTAGGGTGGAAACACTGTGTACAACAATGCATTCTAGCTCAAGTTTCCCCACCACCACAATCCTAACCACCCCCCCCACCCCGGCTTTTCAGTCATCTTTAATGAAGGGGAAATGGAACTGGAAAAATCGGAAGGATAGAAAAAATTAGTGGCAGCCGGAGGGCTCCTATACTGTACCATGTGACCTGCCCAGATCTGTCCAGTATTTAAATGTATGTTAAAATATTTCTACAGATTCTTAAATGAGAATAACTTAAAGCAGGGATGGTTTGATGGTCCATGATCTGCCTGGTCATATTTCCTGAAGACTCTTCATCCCAGCCTCAAGGTCAATTAAGCCGGTCTCCATGAACACTGGCCAGGGAGAACTCAGCCCTCTAAGCAGAAGAATGCTTCAGGTCAGTGGTCTTAAACCTCTTACCCATGGGCCAAATCTATCTCTACTGAGTCTCATTCTCATGCTGTGGGGTTCTGCAGAGAGTTCTGCAACGATGTTAAGCTGTGTTAAAAGTAAAGCTCTCTGCTAGCAAGAAACTGAACAGATAGAAAATACGGTTCCCCGGTACATAAATATCTTTGGAAATGGGTCTAACTCAGGAATTGCTCTGGCCAAGCAGGAGTGAACATGCTGCCTCCCAGAGGTGCATTGCTTCTGCTTTCAGGAAGGGTTGCTGCCATGTCCAAGCCCAGAAAGCCTGGTTGTTTGGGGGGTCAAACAATCCAGAATAAGCCCAACATCATACTATAGGTAGCGGAATACTGAATTATTTAACCTCTAAACAACCCTGAGTTTGAAGGTCCAGGTCCAGAGGTCACAATAATTGAAAGTGGAGGCAACACCCACTTATAGTTTCAACATATGGGCTGTTCTTACATGCAATCAGTTCCTGGGGCCAAGGAAAGTGAGGATGCAGACCCATTATGGGTACAGCAAGCCTTGTTGCAAAACTAGAGAGAAAGGGAACTAATCTCTTCTGAGATTAATGTCACTTTTTCCCACAGATAAGGCTGGCACTTCTTAAGTCCCCATAAACTGTTTTTAGCTAACAAAACTATCCAAGGCTTTAATATGTCTTCTGTTAAATGATTTTGCAAGATTATTCATCACAAGAAATCACCTTGATGTCCTTTGGCACCAACATCAACTTCACTTTGTAGAACTGTACAACTGCATTGCTTCCAGGATTTTACACATCATATTCTCCTTAAAAAAGAATGGCATTTTCCCAAGCATTTTGAGAAATCCAAACTACACAGGGATAATCATGCTTAGTAGCTCGTACAAAAAGACGAATTGAGAATAACATCATGGGGGTCTATGAAGATTAAGCATATTCTTCTGCATGAATCAATGCTTATAGCAGGAAATTAAGTTGAAGATGCAGCAAATGAAAATTCCACAAATCATAGGTATATATCATATTAAGTATTTTTTGAATGTTTAAATCATCTTACAAATTCTTGACATCCAAAAAGATTCCTATTTTAATAGTTAGCAGTATACAAGTATAAAAATAAAAAGAATACATATATAAGTTAGGTTTGAACTCATCTTTGAGAAAACACAGCTTAAAGAAGTTGAAAAGCCTCTTTACTAAAAAAGAAGGAAGCCTGAATGTAAGTTATGCAGAACACGAAGAAGAAGTAAAGTCTTTTGGGACTTTAAAAGCTAACCAATTTATTATGTTACAAACTCTTGTGACCCATGGTTCACTTCATCAGAACAGGAAGCATTATTCTAAATTGCAAGTTAGATATTCCCCTTCATGGATCACTGCCTTGTCGTGGCGAAGGGGCTTGTGTAGTTCAATGAAGCTATGAGCTATGCCGTGCAGGCCCACCCAAGACAGACAGGTCATACCAGAGAGCTCTGACAAAACGTGATCCACTGGAGAAGGAAATGGCAACCCACTTCAGTATCTTTGCCATGAAAACCCCATGGACAGTACCAAAAGGCAAAAAGATACGATGTCGGAAGATGAGCCCCTTAGGTCGAAAGGTGTCCAATATGCTACTGGGGAAGAGCAGAGGGCTAGTACTAGTAGCGCCAGAAAGAATGAAGTGACTGGGTCAAAGCCAAAAGGACACTCAGTTGCAGATGTATCTGGTGGTGAAAGGAGAGTCTGATGCTGTAAAGATCTATACTCCATAGGAACCTGGAATGTAAGATCCATGAATCAAGGCAAGCTGGATGTGGTCAAACAAGAGATGACAAGACTGAACATCGACATCTTAGGAATCAGTGAACTAAAATGGACAGGAATGGGTGAATTTAATTCAGATGACCATCAGGTAGACTACTGCGGGCAAGAATCCCTCAGAAGAAATGGAGTAGCCTTCATAGTCAATAAAAGAGTAGGAAAAGCAGTACTGGGGTACAATCTCCAAAATGACAGAATGATCTCAGTTCGAATCCAAGGCAAAACATTCAACATCACAGTAGTCCAAGTCTACGTCCCAACCACTGGTGCTGAAGAGGCTGAAGTTGACCAGTTCTATGAAGGCCTACAACATCTTCTAGAATTAACACCAAAAAATGATGTCCTTATCATCATGGGGGATTGGAATGCTAAAGTAGGAAGCCAAAAGATAATCGGAATAACAGGCAAGTTGGGCCTTGGAGTACAAAATGAAGTAGGGCACAGGCTGGTCGAATTTTGTCAAGAGAATACAATGGTCATAGCAAACACTCTTTTCGAACAACCCAAGAGACGACTCTACACATGGACATCACCAGACGGTCAACACAGAAATCAGACCGACTATGTGCTCTGCAGCCAAAGATGGAGAAGCTCTATACAGTCAGTAAAAACTAGACCAGGAGCTGACTGTAGCTCAGATCATGAGCTTCTATTTGCAAAATTTACGCTTAAATTGAAGAAAGTAGGGAAAAGCACTAGGGTACTCAGGTATGACCTAAATCATATCCCTGATGAATATATAGTAGAGGTGACAAACAGATTTAAGGAATTAGATCTGACAGACAGAGTGCCTGAAGAACTATGGATGGAGGTTTGCAACATTGTACAAGAGATAACAACTAATACGATCCCAAAGAAAAAGAAATGCAAGGAAGCAAAATGGCTGTCTGAGGAAGCTTTACAAATAGCTGAGGAAAGAAGGGAAGAAAAAGACAAGGGAGAAAGAGAAAAATACACCCAACTGAATGCAGAATTCCAGAGAATGGCTAGAAGAGATAAGAATGCCTTCATATATGAACAGTGCAAAGAAATAGCAGAAAACAATAGAATAGGGAGGACCAGAGATCTCTTCAAGAAAATTGGAAATATGAAGGGAATGTTTCATGCAAAGATGGGTATGATAAAGGATCAAAATGGCAGGGACCTAACAGAGGCATAAGAGATTAAGAAGAGGTGGCAAGATTACACAGAACTATGCAAGAAAGAGCTTAACACCCCTTTTAATCACGATGGGGTGGGCACTGACCTTGAGCCAGACATCCTAGAAAGTTAAGTCAAATGGGCCTTAGGAAGTCTGAGCAACAACAAAGCTAATGGAGGCGACAGGCAACAACCTCAGATATGCAGATGATACCACTCTGATGGCAGAAAGTGAAGAGGAACTAAAGAGATTCTAGATGCAGGTGAAGGAGGAGAGTGCAAAAGTTGGCTTGAAACTCAACATTAAGAAAACTAAGATCATGGCATCCGGTCCTCTTACTTCCTTGCCAAATAGATGAGGAAGACATGGACGTAGTGACAGGTTTTATTTTCCTGGGCTCCAAGATCACTGCAGATGGGGACTGCTGACAAGAAATTAAAAGACTTGCTCCTGGGGAGGAAAGCTATGACAAATCTAGACAGCATACTAAAAAGCAGAGACATCACCCTGCTGACAAAAGTTCGTATAGTCAAGGCTATGGTTTTCCCAGTTGCAATTTATGGCTGTGAAAGTTGGACCATAAGGAAGGCTGAGTGCCGAAGAATTGAGGCCTTTGAATTGTGGTGCTAGAGGAGACTGCTGCGGGTCCCTTGGACTGCAAGGCGATCAAACCGGTGAGTCCTAGAGGAGATCAACCCTGACTGCTCTTTAGAAGGCCAGATACTGAAGATGAAACTCAAATACTTTGGCCACCTAATGAGAAGGAAGGACTCCCTGGAGAAGAGCCTAATGCTGGGAACAATTGATGGCGAAAGAAGAGGGGGACGGCAGAAAATGAGGTGGCTGGTTGGAGTCACTGGGGCAGTGAGTGTGAGCTTAAGTGGACCCCGGGGGATGGTGGAGGACAGGAAGGCCTGGAGGAATGTTGTCCATGGGGTCGCAATGGGTCGGACATGA